TGTTTTTTTAGCTTTCGGTATTGACTTTTGTATTTCCTTTCAGATAATGGGCCATAAAGGGTAACATCACTAAGATATTCCACGGTTATCTTAACATCTAGCTGGCGAGGAATAACTACGAACTCTCCCCCTTTATCAGTAACTGATAGCCTAATGATCATTGAATTTATTGTCTCTAATTTCTTGCATGCCACACATTTGTGCCGGTGTAAGGTTAGAGATAGATCTACCGCGATAGTGATCAAGAGTGTTGAGAACACCGTCCGAAAACATGCGGAATTTTGTGTCAAAACCATCGTTGGGGTCCTGCTGTCTAAAAAACGTTTTAGGGAAAGGAGATGGTGATAATGTCGCCGCCTCTTGGTTTCATTCATGGAAGCCTTGGAAAATCAAGGAGTTCCCACTCAGTATTTAAGGATTCTTCGTGAGCTGTATAAAAATTTGACAACCAAGATATCACCACTCTACAGCTATAATAACGTCGAGTCAAAAAAGAAATTAGGCAAGGTGGTAGCTTCTCGCCAATATTATTTACTGCTACCCTCCAGAACGTCCAGCAAGCACTCGAATGAGACAACATGGCAGTGAAAATCGGCGCTTAGCAATTACACCATCTTCGCATCACTGTGGCATTGTTCTTATAATGCCAAACGTTAGCCAAGAGGAACGAGTGCTCGCCAATTTTGGTAAAGCCTGTGGAAAAATTAGTTTCCGACTAAGTTTCACAAAAACGATGTTAATGAGAAACGGATTGGTTTCGCATGCTCCATTCAAGCTCAACGGAATATCTCGGAATGCCCCACTTACGTCTATCTAGGTCGGAAATCAACACGATAACCGACTTAAAGTTGACCAGAAGGAAGCGAGCGGCTTTTGGGAGCTTTCAAGAGCATAGAGGATGGAGTGAAAAAAAAACGAAGAAACCCGATTTCGTGCCCAGCTTTTCGAATCCACGATATTTCTTACCCTAACGTATGCGTCAGAAGCGTGGTCGCTGCGTAAGCAGGATGAAAGGTCACCTAGCGTTATTGAGCGCGCGCTCCAAAGGGCGATGCTAGGAGTATCCCGTGTCACAGAATTAAGGGAATGGACCTGAAACTCCGACTTGCGTCAACGATCGAAAATAAAAGATTTTGTTCTGTGCGAAGACAAGTTAGGCCGAGCACAATGCGTATGAATGGCAACCGATGGACAAGAGCCGTCAGTGACTGGATTCCTCGCCGTGTCAAACGTACTGCGGGAAGGCCATCGATCCGTTGGTCAGAATTCCTCACGAAAAGCCTAAAAAACAAATGCGATCCTCAACCAGTCCTTAAGGCGTGCAGAACCCACTGGGCTACTCTTGCACGCGAGAGGAAAAAATGGAAGATTTATTGGCGGATGCTAGAGTAACTCGACGATCAACGAGTCGACAGGAGATGGGTGAATTCCTGTTCAGAGTACGAAAACCGCAGTGATTAGAGCCGTGTAATGACTGCTTCTTCGTTTGATAACGAACAGGTCCACCCAAGCCATCCTTCCATGCGGTGTCGACAAATTGATTCTAGCCATGGATAGGAGCTTCCTCTAATCCATAAAAAAGTCCGACGATAAACACTGTGGTGAAGGTCTGACAATGCCTTATCACAACCATTCTAGAATGGCAGGTAGACTCGACCAACTTTCAACGAAATTTACACAGAAGATAAGGTCGCAAGCGGCAGTAGATTCTACTCTTAAGCCCGAAGATTTCCTTAGATGAAGGATAGGAATTGTGAAACCAATTAAAAAAGTGCTAGGATACGAGTGATTTCGAAACGGTGAATAACAAATAATAGACAGAAAATAAATATTGGCTCAACACTACTGTCATGATTCACATGTGCTAGGAATATTTAAGCCTTGGCTTACACAATAAGATCGAATCAAAAATGGTTTTGCAAGAGAAAATTAAACTTCAGGGTTAGATTGTTTGTCGTTTTAAATGTCACTGAGCGTGTAGATTAGTAGCCGCAAGAGATTTCTACTTCAGGCTTCCATTAGATGAGGATGAAAATCAATTCAACTTTTTTATTCAATCCTTTCTATATTTTGTAGTAAAACTTTTCGCATTTGGTGTCAATTCTTTAACTGCGGAATCAGTGCTTCTAGTCTTTCATTTACGTCTTCTGTTTATCATGATCGATCGAGTGTATTCTCTGGCAAATGACAGCCTCCAGATCTTCAGAGAACATACGGAATTCTTGGAATTTGCCAGCAGCTTTGCAGGCCAACAAGTAATTTCTTCGTGATGAGCAGATAGATGAGAAGTTGAGGAAGTAACGGCAAGGATTGACGACAACTATTTCCTCACCGACATTAAGTGCTCCGTAACTGAACTACAGGTTGAATTTATCGTTTCGTTTATAGCAATCACATCTCATGCTGTATTTTAAATGGAAACCAAATTAAAAGAAATCTCGCATATAAGACTTTGCTTTGCTGTGAATTCGAACTATTCGCGACATATTCCCATTAGATATTTTCGCCTAGGCTCCCGCTGTTCGGCACAATAAACGACTTGGCAAAAAAATAAACGTGGAACTCCCCGACAGAGGATCACCAGCCGATTAAACGTGAGACCAAGGCAAGAAGAGAACAACGCTTGTTCCCAGGTGATGTACAGGGATTTAAACGGGTAGCAAAAAAAGCGTGTGGCGCAGTGGTCGGAAGCGTCCTGTAGTACACACATGGAATCGATCCAAGCGCCCGTGGCTCACGAAGCCTTCCTCCGGAGTCGGCAAATTGGTAGCAGACTTGCCTGGGAAGATAGCAGCACTGGCCCGATACATCGGTAGGCCACCGCGAGTTATTGCAAAGCCAGGTGTGCATTCAATCACCTTCAACGATGCCTAATGAAGTCGAATGAATGGCGCATCCCTCAGAGATTGACCAATGCCAAGCCAAGAGCTTTATCTTTTTATTTCTTTGCCAAAAGAAAGCTAGTTTCACCGAAAGCCAGGAGGTGGACTCCATGTTTATGTTAAATCAACTTCATTTATCTATTTAGGCACAGACATATTCATGTATGTGCTATTCACGTTTATGCTACCCTTGAGTATATCCAGTCTTGGCAAGCTTTGTGTATAAGACAATTGCAAAAAGAGTACAATAAGCGAACATCATTTACTAGTACTTAAGTCCTCCTATACGGCAGCACTGGTGAGAACAAGTACATAGAGATTGTTAGAAATTACTAAAATGAGGTCCTGATAACGCATACCAAGAAAATTAAGTGCTACTTAATAACACTTGTCGAGAAGACGCCGTTTAACCTTTGCAATATCGAGAATAGGTATTCCTCAGAGCATGAGACAACAAAGAAATCGGCAGGGATGGCTGCGTCGTTGACAAGACAAGATATGAAAAATTTCACAAAAGCTGGAATAGAAAACATCGAAGCGAAAGTGGATGGGATGAACATCACCCTCGCTTTGCTGGTGATATCTTTCTAATAACACAAAGCACTAGCTATATAGAACAAAAACTAGCCGACTACGGCAATGCCTGTGGAAAGACAAGTCTCCGACTATACCTCAAGACAACAGCGGATTTGTTTCTGATTTCTCATTTAGGCTCAATGAAACGAATATCTCTGGATGCGGACAACATTGTATATCCGAGTTTAGAGTTTAACATGATAAACGGTTTAGCTTCCGAGCTGAGCAAGAGGAAGCGATAAGCACGAAGAGCCTTCAAAGGACCAAGGATGTAATAAGAAAAAATACTCGATTCAATAAATATCTTTTCTAAATCCAGCGCTGCCTGCAAACGAGAGGGCAATGATGTAAGTGTTCCGCATCACCCTAGTATTAGGAATCCATAGTTATGACCTAGGTTAGCAATCACGCTTAGAAACTCAAGGCCTTAAATATCAAATGTCGAAAATAAAGTCGTCTGAATATGTGATGCGTCTGAATGATAGCACATGGATAATATCCGTAACGTTTAGGTCATAAGGGAAGTGAAGTGGCAAGCAGGAAGACCATCCATCCGACGGTCACCATTCTTCATGAAGAACCTAGGAAAAGAATATGACCCACAACGAGTACCTAAAGCCAGCGGAACTAGCTGGGCTACTTTTGAGTGCGACAAGGGCATAATGAGATTTTACAGTGGCTCGAACCACTAAACGATCAGTGGAAGCAGAAGTGCCAACCGTGCAAGAATATGAAACGATGAAGAAAGAACAGGCGCTTCTTCGTAATAATGTGGTACAGTGGGCGATGGTGGAAAGGCATGTACGTTTACATGTTTCCATGAAATATTTTAACTAGAATGGTCTGATTATTTTGCGATAAGTATTCGTCATGGTTCCCCATTTTAAATCAACGAAACAACCATTGTTTGACATTGGCAAAATTTCGAACTTCGAGTCGGCAAACTCAAATTTTTTAAGGAAATGGAATTCGCAAGATCGACTTTCTATTAACCTCGGCATCGGATTATAAATTCGTCGTTTTCTTCCTCAGCAATTGCGAGGTTGTTAAACAGCGCACGTTTACTTCCATACAATAACATACATACAACACAATCGTAGCTGACGTTTCGGCAGAATGGTCTCCTTCAGAGCCGTTTTTTTCGCCTGACTTCCACCGAGGAAGGACAGCTGCTCGGAGTAATTTGCATACTAGCGTACCCTTCCAGGCTCTGAGGAAGGCGATTCTGCCGAACGTCAGCTACGATTGTGTTGTATGTGTATTATTGTATGGAAGTAAAGGTAAAGTAAATAAAAAGTCAGCATTGTAAATTTCAACTATAGCCTCAGCTTAACTAGGGTCAATGCCGATTTCGGCTCCCCAGATCAATCCCGTTGACGGGTGATCGCTGATGGCAGTGATCGATTCAACTAGCTGAGAAACGAGCGAAACGAAGGACCCGCATGGTGTGGTGGTGAGCGCGTTACTTCCCGAAAAGGACAATAGCGCGTTCGTTACCCACCGTAGGCACCTGCGGTCCGGAGTTTTGCAAATGTCTCAGCATCATTGTGGTTGTTTCATAAATGCAAACACTTTAAAAAAGATAGTGAGTGATAACTCGTACGAAAATGCCCGATGTGGATGTCTGGCTGGTCGAAGAATGAGATCGTTGTCGATGTCGATGTTACCATCCTGGTCAAGAAGGCTTTCCAGAAGCTTTTGCTCAGAAAAATCGAATCGACTTCCCTTCACCGGCCGAATTTCGCCTGATACGAAACTTATTTTCCACATAGGTCATAGGCATTTTCACTACCACAGAAATAACTAGTGGAAGTTGGTCTCAAATCACGTGTTCATTTCAAGATGAGACAATCAGAACGTAGCGCTGAGCTGTTTACTTTAGAGTTGTGATGCTCTTCTGAAATTAATGAACCAAAAATGTCTTGTGTTAAATTTTCGTTATGGCTTTTATGGTTGGCGATGTAATTATAAGAAGCACTACGACGTAGGCGAAGAAGCTAGTTTTCGACAGTTGCGGATAATTTTTGAATATCTCCAGCACGTTAGAAGCCATAAGCTTTGTCAATTTATCGAACAAGCCATCGCTACAAAATAAACACCGCCTCTTTAAAATATTTCTTCGTTTTCGGGTTCAACTTGAAATAGCAATTTAAAAAATGAAACTTTAACCTTTTAACGCGAGCGCTGCAGCCACAAACGTCAACAGAGCTTTCGAACACTATGACTTCATGCTGTATTTCATTTATTAAAGTTTACTATGAACTGGATTATGTACATGTTAAAGAACTAACTTATTTAAGGTATGTGCGCATTGAAATCAACGCATATTCTCCTCTTAAAAAATATAACATTTGCAGCTAATAGAGTGAGAAATAAAAGTGTAGGTGTAAAAAGTCAGATTCGTCCGTTCCCACAAAAACTTGATAGAACTGCAAATGCTATCTGTTAATAACGCAGATCATAAAGGACGCCCGCTGAATGGTAAGTTTAACTACCTGATACACGAAAAAACATCCTTGATGTATTACAAGCTATCTGAGTCGATGTTAATCGCATGAATTGAGTTCATTCAGATTGAAATCCAGATTTTGAGACAAAACCCCTCACAGTTGTTCATTTCGCTATTTCTATTCAAATAAAGGTTAAATCAAAAAATATTGAAAAAGCATGAAAATTCCCAAAAATACGCATCATGACTTTAAGTAGAAACGACTTCTTGGGATTTTCCATAATGCAAGCACACAAAACCAAGCACAAATTTTTTTCCTTTACACAGCGAAAATAGGAAATGAACTGAGATCCATGAAAGTAGAAAAGAAAGAAAAAAGAGGGATAGATGGCTTTACAAACTTGGTTATGAAGGAAGTCTTACCTGTAGGCAAATCGTCTTGATCAGTAGGGAGGTAGGAGTCGGCCCCAAGTTTCAGCAAGTGATTCTTCACTGATTGCTAAACTGCAATAGTTCTAAAGACTCATATAAAACAAGCATATATAAATACATATACATATATATATATATATAGAATTTTTCTACATGACTCGTCGCCGCATCTACCGTGTGGATACGAGAACTTCATCCATTTGATTCGCTTCGTCGCATTTATTGTCCACAAATTCTTCGAACATTTCGGGTGTTGCTTCGGCTGCCGTTTACAGATTTTTCCTCGTTACGAATGCAGTAAAACGCTGGATGAGTCGATTGCCCTTGGAATCCGGCTATAGCCGAGCTATAGGGTTCCTGCGTGGTATGGAGGAGTACGTAGGAGAGGGAACCAGACCAGCATCTTGTGCACTACTAACCATTCAACTACTGGTCTATATATACATATATATATATATATATATATACGTATATATGCACACATATATACACGGATGTAGCGCAATGGCTAGAGACACACTCCGATGCACGTGGATTCGACCCCATGCCACAGGCCCACCAGGCCTTCCATCTCTCCGGTGTCCGCAAATTGGCACCAGACAAGGCCACCGCAAGCCACTGTTTAGGCCTCATTTGCATTCAAAGCCCTCTAATGATGTTCAATGAAGTTGAATGCATGGTGCACACCTCAAGTATAGATCAACGCCAATGCCAAAGGCTTTATTTTTATCCTTTTACCTTCATCCTTCACGCACAAAAAGGATGTTTGTGAGAAACGTGTCTTAAACATCCACCAGTGTGTGCACAGGAAGGCAGCAGAGGGAAGAATTCCCTAAATTGACGCGGGAAATAGCCATTATTTCCATTGGCTACGAAACGGTAGCTCATCGAAAGAGGCACACAGGAAGGACCATGACAACAAACGACGACATGTCTAGGAAGAACAAGGTACCGTCTATCCTGTCCTTAATTTTTAACGAAATAAACCTATAAAACATTGCTATAAAAGTGTTGGTCTAGAAAACTCGCTAACAGTAGTTGAAATACCACCGAGTCCTCTAAGACGCCAGCTAGTTCGCATCCGCCTCTATGACCGTCCACGCACGCAAAATTGCATAGTACGCCCAAAAGGCAGAGATGGTGATTGTTCGGGCACGATTTATCTGGTCTCTTGTGAAGCGTGCGGCATGAATATATTGGCGAAACGGGTAGATTACTATCTCTCCGTATAAAAACACCTAGACGGAAAAGCATAGAGCTTAACAAAACACTCCACTAGGCGCATTGAGATCGCACACAACATCTGAGACTGGTACTTTAACGTCAGAGTTGCTTATTGCGTTTCCATGTGATCTCTGAACCGTTGGACTCCCTTGGAACACTCAGTGGAAGGAATTCTCACGTCCGACTTTCTGTTAACCTCGCCACTAAAACTGGTTTAGCATTTTCTCTGTTTTGTTATAGAGGTGTTTGGTTAGGTAGATTGCGGTGAACTTGACCGTTCAGATTCTGAGAAAGGCGAAATCCGCCGAAACGTTAGTCATACTCATTGTGCGCTAATCGAAAAAAGGTTTTCCTTACTTTTAATAAAGTACATTAGTTTTGAAATATTGTTATTGCTTGTTACTAGCTGATAATAATACCGAGTTCTGCAGGATTAATTGCCCGAGAAAAACAATTTACTATTACCGGAAAATCAAAACTGTCAACCATCAGCATCCTGCATAAAAGGGCATCACCGAGTGAGTGTGTTTCATACAAGGGATGGCCCACTGAGGAAGACGCAACTCGATACGAAGGCGAAGACCCCACATAGAGACGAGTAATAACGTGGGCTATCGACTCGGACTGTCGGCACTGATGAAGACGAAGACGTCGAAACGTTAGCCGAATAAAGATTGTTATCAATCTCGTGTAAGCTTATCAAAGAAAGAATACATGTTGAAAAGTTCATTAGTATTTTTTATTGTTTCGATTGACATAGTATAACGCCGCGCAGTGAGTGGATAAAGATGCAGTGAAATATTTTATACGCATGGTTGCTGGCTTGACTCTACAACGAAGTCCCTCATCCCATTCTCGTCTCTCCAGGTTCGGTAAATTGGTGCGGAATTCTTTGGGGAAAGCTTTTTGTCTGATTTGCTGAGGTCGGTGACTGCATGTGTTGAAGACGTAGAAACACACTAGTAAAATATTTCAGGATTTCAAACAGAATCATAGTCGACCAGCGTTTAAGGACATTCTTTAAAAGGTTAAGTTTTCCAGTGGTAGCTTCACACGATTCAAAGGGCCTTTTCGAATGAGTGATGCAACAACGAACAGAGGGAAAGAAGTGCTGGGAGCGGCACAGCAAGAGGAGATGGGTTATAGGGAATAAAAATAATTATGCAAAAGTTACACTATGAAGTACCACACATATCTGATAATAAAGTTAGAAAGGACCTTAACTCTAAACAACCTAAATTTCTGGTGCTCTTGATGTCCTCCTAAGAGATTATCGGGTAACGGTAGTATATTTGGTCAACAAATCAAAAGCGTACTGAAAGAACACAAAAACATTTCATGTTTTGACTGGACCTATTCAAATGTTCAGCTCAGTCGCGAAACCAATTTATTGAAACTTCAGTAACGGTATATGGTCTTCTGGTACGGCAAAGCAAGCATATGGTGGAAAAACGGGAAATTCCCGAAAGTCGTACGTCAGAGAGATAAATGACCGTGACGCAGATCTGAACGTTCGTCGGGTGTACGTCATCTAATCAAATCGTTCAAATTGAAACATACACTTCCGTCGAGATTCCAGTACGAGTGATTTGTGAGGTTCAACACGCCAGCTGTTGCACAATTCGCTCCGTGTTCAATCAACAGCTGATTCCGATCGTTCACTGTGTAAGTCACCTGAACACATAAATCGAATAACAACGCCAATCAATCATTGTCAGAGTAGTGAGTAGGCACCCAGAATATTTCCAACCGAGTAAAATCAACAAAAAATTATTTTCAGCCAGTGAAATAAAATAAAATTCAAAAAAGAAAGTCAGAAAAATGAACACAAACAACATTCTAACGAATACCCAAATGTTCCTGGATCGTCTACGTAATACCCGACTCAACAGCGCGTACGTGGTGGAGTCTTTCGACGTCACTGCCCTCTATACGAACGTGTCGAATGACTCCGCTATACAAGCCATCCGCGAGCTCCTTATACAACACGAAGGAGCAATAAACATGTGCGGCTTCTCGATTCAGCAGTTGATGACACTCTTAAAGGAGTGCCTAAACTGCTCAATCTTCAGATGGTCCGGGAGGTATTACGCACAAATGAGAGGGATGGCAATGGGACAACGACTGCCACCAAGCCTTGCCATTGCATTCATGTTTAAGGTGGAAGTAGTAGTAATCGACCTCGGTCCTTTACTCTACTGTGGATATATAAATGACCGCTTGATCATTTGTTTAACACAAGAAGAAATTGACAGATGTTTCGAGTTGTTGAACGAACAGTCAGAGTATATTAAATTCACCCGAGGGAAACCAAAAAAAACTGGTTTCCATTTCTGAACGTGCAAATTCTTGGTTCATTACTTCTCCTCTCACCCCTCTCACACGAAAAGGGCGCTTGTGGGAAACATGTTTCGAGCAGTTACCAGCGTGTGCACAGGAAGACAGCAGAGAGAGGAGTCCCGGAACTTGGCGCGGCAAATAGCCATTTTTAATGGCTACGAAACTGTAGCTCGAGATAGGTATAGAGGAAACCCTAGGTACCACAACGATAACTCTAGCGACAATAAGGTTCCGTTTATACTGCCCTTCATTTAAAATGAAGTAAGTGCAGCTATAAAACACTGTTTAAGAAGGGAAGGTCTAGAGAATTCGGTAACGATAATCGAAATACCATCAAGTAATCTAAGAGGTCAGCTAGTTCGTAACCGCCTATACAACTGTCTATGTGTAACGCAAAATCGCATAATTTGACCCAGTGGTAGAGACGGTGACTGCATGAGTTCGGGTACAGTCTATCTGACCTCTTGTAAAGCGTGCGGGGACGAATTCGTTGGCGAAACAGGTAGACGACTCTGCTTCCGTGTAAAAGAATACCTATTCGGGAAACGGAAACCAAATACTCCACTAGGTACGCATAGGACGCAGAGACATAACGGAGAAGGTTTTGAAGCAGAGGTTACGATCCTCGCGCAGGAATCGAGAACACAAGCGCGCAAAGCTCTAGAGGCATTCTGGATTAATTGCAAGAATCCGAAAAGGACCGCAGGGAGGAATGCCTCATTATTGGGCGTGATATTAGGCAGTATGCAAACCTGTTATTTTGATGAGATGGGCACAATACGATTCCGTGTGTACTCTGTGCGGTTGGCCTCCACGTAATATACTTAGTGAAGCCTAATAGAAAGCGGTGAATGTACAAAGACTCTGTGTTCAGTGTGATTGAAATTTTGGTTCAGCATTTTCTCTGTCTGGTTATGAAGGTGTTCGGCCGTGTAGATTGTAGTCAACTTGACCCGCCAGGCTCTGAGGAAAGCGAAATTCGCCGAAACGTCAGCTGATACGTAAATAAAGAAATAAACACATCTCGTGTTTGCTGAACAGAAGTAGAAAGAACTATTCAGAAAAATAAATTTCCGGAAAAACACCATATTTGATGCAGGAAAATGATCACCTACATCTATTTTCGCATCTCCTGGGAAACCGTCCTCAGCTTCGTTCGTGCACATTCTGAACGAGACCGACGTGGGAGTTTGCCGAACAACGTTCCATTCTTTCTATAACCAGAAAAGTTGGCTTCCGAATTAGTTCAAATTCAGTGCTGTTATGGCAACCATGGCAGGATGTAGACGTTAGGAAATTTACTATTTGGCTAAACGGTGGGCAAAATATGGCTTCACCACTACCTGACGTAACACATTTGACTATACTGTTTCATTTGGCGTCTCAATCCAAAGCAAAAAACAAGGTTGAACGAATTTGAACGGATGTATTTGGAAAGAAACAACAATGACGATAAGACGATTGCAAAACTCAGACCCCAGGAAAGATTGTGGTAGAAACTGATTGCAGGAAAGCTAAGGTGAGACCTCGGTGGTTCAGTAGAGATCATTTAGGCCCACGCGAAAGATAATCGCGAGTTCGAATCTGGTCTGTGGTCAAAGTTTTGAAAAAAATTCCGGAATTAATGTTGTTGCATTTCACACAATACCGCGCCGTGAAGAAATAATACTAAATAAAAAGCTATAGATATTTGGAAAGAAGTACGATGTATCTAACAGCTTGTTTTTAGTTTCCGAACTCATTTTCATTATCCTAAGACATAAAAGAAAGCACCTTTGATTCCTACAGTGAGAAAAAGTGACGAAATGAGAAAAGAGTAGAAACGACACGGAAAAGAGATGAAAGAGAGAAAAAGAAAATAAAGAATGGGAAAGAAAAGAATAATAAGGAAAAGAAATTGACAACTTCACGAAACCGATCTCAAAAAATTTCTGATGCCCTTCTCTATTGCCATTCTGAAATTTTCAGTTTGATAAGTGACCAGTATCTAGTCAAATGAAGATGAAAAAGAAATCCCACGACCACTGTTGCTTTTTATTTTACTCATTATTTTTTACTTTCATAGTACTGGTTTTTCATGTCATACCAAAGCTATTCCTTGAGGTCCACCGTGTAAATGATGTGGCGGAGCGTTGATGGGAAGTTCGAACTGTCGGTCGTCGAACGTAAATCGACCGTAGCGGATGCGATTACAAACTCGGCCAACTGTTCGGCCCATGTACATCGTATCATTTAGATAGTCTAGAATGAGATTCTACAGCATTACTAAGCACAGCGTTAATCACTCCTGACATCTTGAACCTACCATTTAGACTATTCGCGTCTTTGAAATATCTGGAAGAATTAAGCCATTGAGAAGTAAAACAAATAAAGCTGACCGCAGTGTGCTTACGTCGACGGCAAATTAAAGGGCAAAGTTAAAAGAAGCTCTTATTATCTCTTCATTTGAATTTGTTTAACTCATTTCAAATATCTTCGATTCGTGTTGCCCATTTAGTGCAATAATAAATATTCAATTTTCAGACTTCGAAACAAAAAATCTGTTATGGTGTCCAAAGAAAGGGGGGTTGAAGAGTTCTGTTACGAATGGGGAGAGTGGTAAGTGGTTTCTTCTAGATTATTACATTATCAAGCAGTCCTTTAGCAAGGTCCCATGAATTCTTGAACACATCAAAATCGCCAACCTGCTGTAGAACTTGGATCATATTTCATCCAATCATCAAAAGAAATGTCGGAAAAAACAGGAATACCTTTGAAAGCACAAGATTGGACTTCCTTGAAAAACACTTCTAAACGTTTTTCTATGCAAAACATTCGATAACAAGTTGGAATGCTGTTAAACCGTACAAATTCTCGTCAACTATGTAAACCCCATGTAGCCTACACTTTCTTTCTATAGTGATTCAGTCCGTTTATTGTGGAAACGAGTTCGGAATTTGAAGAAGAAAGAAAATCTGAGATGCCTTTCGCAAATCCACATCTTAATCTTTTTGTTGGAAAAATTGGCTTGGAGAGACCAAAAAAGGTGCTCTAGTCCATTACCAGGGCCAATTTTGAACGAGGATGTATGTCAAGTCCAAGAGCAGACGAGCTCATCTTAATGACAAGACGTTTTGTATGCATATTGCCACCATTTTTGGTAGATTTGACCAGATTTCCCTCCGGGCAAACCTCAAAGTGGCTGACTTAGCTGTAGAAAATAGATCACTAACGTCTTTCCCTCACCAGCACTAATATCAGTTTGCTCTACAGAATATTCCAATACTTTATAAACACTGTAAAATTTTCTTCATGCTTCCATGAACATCATTATTTAACCCTGATATCTGCGCTCGGCCATCTAACTGGAATCGAATAAACATTTCTCACAATATGTATTCGTTCTTTGATGAGCTTACACGAGGTTGATAATGATGTTTATTTTCGGCTAACGTTTCCACGTCTTCGTCTTCCTCAGAGCCGATGATCCGAGTCGATGGTCCTCAAAGGGCATCACTGAGTAAGGATGCCTCATTCGAGGAGATGGCTCACTGAAGAAGACCTGACTCGACACGAAGACGAAGCTGCCACGTCGAGACGAATAACAAGCGAGGACCATCGACTCGGATCATCGGCTCTGAGGAAGACGAAGACGTCGAAACGTTAGCCGAAAATAAACATCATTATCAACCTCGTGTGAGCTCATCAAAGAAAGAATACATATTGATCAGTGATACCGAGGTTCGAGGAGAGTCGGTTTCGAAACATTGTAATTGCTCTCACACGTGCACGTCTCACATCTTTGCAGGGTTTTCTTTGCAATAGAACAACCGCTTGAGTAAAAAAGCACATAGATTTCTGGGTGAGGATTGCTTGAAGATACTGTTTCAAGATGACAATTGCTGCAAACAGGAATCGATTTTTGGTTAGATCTGAATGAATTTCCGTAAGCGGTAGACTACATAAATCTGCAATAAAATTGAAAAAGAAGTAGATTTAATAACAATCTTAGTAAGCATGCGAGAAAATGGTGTCGACTGAGAGTCACTCTCTTCCAATAACTTTTGAGCTTAGAGAAATTCAAAAATAAATATGAAGGCCCACAACGGATGCAGGTATAATGAACGTGGAATAATGGACTGTACATAGACTGTTTAACTTTAGAATAAAACTGCTTCCTCTGTGAACCTTTATAGGTATCGAAGCCTAGAACGACGTCGACGGGCTTCCCATCACGGCCCTGAACAAGTAGAGACGTCAGCGTAGCTCCTAACGGTGAGAAACGAGCCGTTAGCCCTTGTGTGGAGCTGATCTCGATGAACGTCTCCATTCCACTGAAAATGAAGCAAAGTCGTAGAATCTAGTTATTTACGACCGTTTTTTCAAACGATTTGAAGTAAGAATGATGGACTTTTTGCCGTGTATTTAATTATCCTCGTTGTAGTACGATAACGCTATAAAGGTCTTTAAAATTACTGACCACGTGAAAATTGTACAAATTCATTAGAAGTAGCATATGAAATCAACACAGACGAATAATAAGCCGTAAAATGTAAATCTTCCCTGAACTCAAGGGCAATAAAGCCTGCAGAGGAATAACCATTGAAGAACGAGTTCATTCGCTACTAGTTCTTCTAGCCGAACATCAAAACGAGATTCAAGCAAAAATGTTAGGTTGCGAAGGATATTTTGGGAGATAAGCAAATTTCCCAAAAACAAACTAAACTGTTTGAACAGGTCTACGATCAGGAAATGCAGGAGTAAGTTAGTATCCGGAATTACTGCCATTCTGGGAACAAAAAGGTCAAGGACGGATAAATAGTGACCACCTGCACAATTCCAAACAGGTTTCAAGATCGCAAAGAAGAAAATCTTGCCTAAACAGCAAATTATCGGCAAAGTAGAAACTTTACTGGGCCTGCAGGATTCTGCATGAAGACGGGTCATTCAAGTGCGAGGCAACTAAGCACTGAAATGTAAATCGGGCCTACAGTGCACTTACTATAATGTTACGATAAAATCCAGGATATACCAAATATGCATGGGATGCTACTTCGTATATTTCATCAAGAACTGGTGAATGTATATTTAAGTCGTCTTCTACAACACAATTAGACTCCCCAAGTACAATCTAGCCTATTTTAATGCAAGCTCCTTTCATTATTTAGACATTTACACACCTCCAGAGGTTATTATCTACAATCTTAACACTTTTATTTACTGCCTACTGTCTTTAATGGCAGGGTATATTGTGAAATATAACTTCAATAATGTTGAGATATTTGCAAAACTCCGGACCGCAGGTGTCTGCGGTGGAGAACGAACGTGAACGCGTTACTCCCCGGAAAGGACAATAGCGCGTTCGTTGCCCATTGCAGATACCTGCGATCCGGAGGTTTCCAAATGCCTCAGCATCATTGAAATTATTATCTACATCTACCTCTTCATAAGTTTCCGGCCTTGTGTCCGAATTTTGCTCATATCTCAGGTTCAATGTGGTTGAATTTTATGAAGGCTCAGAAAGCTTCTTTTCAAGTCAATACTATTTTAATTAGACCTTTTTGGAATTGTTAAGCTAACACGACGTTGATAAATTAGTTCTATTCGGCTAACGCTTCTATGTTTTCGTCTTCAATAATCTATATATCCGAAGCAGAATAGAATCACATCTGTGGTGGCCGGATATCGGTTACTGCTACTTCCACCTTAGACATAAATGCAATTGCAAAGCTTGGTACCAGTCGCTGTCCCATTTCCAACCCTCTTATTTGTGGGTGGTATGTTTTATACTTAGGGCGCGTGTTGCGCAGTAGTCGGAGGCGCCCTAGAACACACACATGGGACCAATCCCCGCGCCCGTGGCACAACAAGCCTTCCATCCCACCGGGATCGGCAAATTGGTGCCAGACTTGTCTGGGTGGATAGCAGCACTGGCTCGGCAAATCGGTAGGCCACCGCGAGTTATTGTAAAGACCTGATATGCATTCAATCACCTCAAAACAATGCTTAGTGAAGTGGAATGCACGGCGCATCTCTCAAGAATTCATCAACGACGAGCGTTTTACCCTTTTATATTTTATAATTACTGTTTCCATTGTCGAACTTTGGCCAACGCTAAGTATTATTGCAATCGTTGTGTTTATATTATATATATAACGTATTGTTTATAATGTTTTCTAATTTTTAATTTGTAACCAGTAAGTACACCGCCCACAAACTAGAGGGTTAGCAATGGGACAGCAAAATGCAATAAGCCTTGTCATTGCATTTATGTCTAAGGTGGAAGTAGCAGTAACCGATCTTCGGCCACCGTAGCTGTAATTCTACTCCGCTGTAGACATATAGATGATTGAAGATGAAGACATTGGAACGTTACCCGAATAAAACTAATTCATCAATCTCGTGTAAATTCCACAATTTAGACACGTACTGGCTACTTTACTATCGAGGTGAAATGATGGTCGGTTTCAAATTTATCGTTTTGCTACTCGCTAACGGATAATCATATCAACAACAACAACTGCCCAATATAAAACAGCATCGCCGGATCAGTATGCCTCATTCGAGATATGCTCCACTGAAGAAGATCAGACTCTATACGAATACAAAGACACTATATGGAGAAGGCGAACAACTGTTGACCACGAAGGTGGATCACCGGCTAGGCTGAAGATGAAGACGCCGAAACGTTAGCAGAATAAAACTAATTTATCGACCTCGTGTTAGCTTAAAAATCCAGGAGGATATTAATTACAACTGTATTCGCTTGAAAAGAAGATTTCTGAGCTTTCGTAAAATTCAACCTTAATAATGCTGAGACATGAGCAAAACTCGGACCTAAAGCCAGATTCGAAGCTGTGATTACTCTTAGCGAGAACTGACATTGTATCCACTATAACATCGATCCCCTTGCTTTGCCTTTCCCTTAGCTAGCTTTTCACCTTAACCGTGATATTAGCAATTACCTGCCAATGGGAAAAATCTGGGGAGCACAATTCGGCACTGAGCGCTTCAGTATGAGTTCCGTTGCCGTTTAACTAATCTCTTGAAAGCGTGAGGCGACGAATATATTGGCGAAATGGGTAGATACTCTGAGTTCACAATGTTTGCTTTTTGTTTTCTGCCTTCTATAATTTTTATGGCAGCGTATTGAGCGAAATACAACCACAATATTGCTGAGATATTCGCAAAACTCTGGACCGCAGGTGTCTGCGGTGGGGAACGACGCGCTATTGTCCTTTACCGGGAGTAACGCGCCCACCACCACACCATGCGGGTCCTTCAGCAAAACTTTCGAAGCATTCTGGATAGATTCCAAGAATCCAACAATGAACCATTGGGAGGAATACGTCGTTATCATGTATGAACTCACACAATATCTCAGACTGATGTTTTAACCTTGAAGGAGGCGCATTACAAATGTGAGTGTGGGAACAAGCTGCTTTGTTTCTAGTGCGATTTGGGTTCATAGTTTTCCTTTTGTGATTTTGAAGGTATTTGCTGAGTAGATTACAGTGAACCTGATGTTTCCAGGCTCTGAAGGAGGAAAGTCGCCAAAACATCGGCTTTTGTTGATACAGCAATAGTGTAGTAACAGCCTTGCGCTTGCTCACCAAAAAACTGTGTCTACTCCTACGAATTACTTGGTAGTTAGCGAAAAAAATAAGAAGAAAAGAAGACGTATAACATAACCCCACAAAGCCTGCAGTAGAACTTGTGAGTGCAGGAAGGATTAGCGGAAATTACCAGATAAGGAACGAAAATTTTACTTATTAGAGGGATATAGCAAACTAATGGATAGACAGAGCCTAATAATACAGTGTCTACTCCTGTGAGAAAGCCAAGCTAAGGATTTTCCACTCCGGGTCTTGGGGCCTCAAAAAAGCTTGAAAATAGGACGATCACAAAAGTGGAACAATGGTCGAAATGCGGCGATGACATAAGTGGGCGTAGGACCGACAAGTGACACAAAAGAAACCTTGGGAAGGCAATATGATAGGAAAAGTATAGTACAATAAAAAACGTATTTTGAACGTGATATGTGAACGAATAAAAAAAGTCGAAAAACGCAGTGAACTGCAGGTGCACCAATTGCCGCTGGTGAACCAGCTGCAGGTTTACAGAATATCGTGTACACGAGCTGATAAAAAGGCAGTGATGTTGACAACATCCCTGGAAGTGCATGCACGGAATACGAGCTGCATGCCGAATGAGAAGAGCAAGACGAATCAAACGCAAAAAGTGCTAGGATCTGCACACTAGATCTAATGGCGGATCATGTAAAATAATAAAAATATAATTCTCACGACCGACTTTCTGTTAACCATATACATGGAAGACTCATAGAAAGCGGTGAGCGTGCGAGGAAGTTACTCTGTGTTCAATATGATTGAAATCTTGGCATAGCATTTTCTATGCTTGGTTATGGAAGCGTTGGACTGGCTAGATTGCGGTTAACTTGACCTTTCAAGGCTTTGAGGAGGGCGAAATCCCACGAAACGTTAGTCGTGAATAAAGAGTAGAATAACACCTCGTGTTTGCTCAACAAGAATATAAAGAACAAAAATATACACATATATGCATATGCGTATCTGTTGTAGATACGAATGCGTTGACGGCCCGCTGATCCTGAAGAGGCAAGGATCACTCGTTGCTGCGAATCAATATCTGCTTATCGGAGCTGCTTACTACGCTAGTCACCAGGCGTGCCTGAACAAACAACAAAAGTGTGCGAGGTGATGGTATTCGGCAGCAACATTGTTCCAATAGGTTTTAGAAGAGAAGAACGGTAATACTTGGATCGAATAATTCGAAATGAATATTTGAGTGATTCGAGCAGTGCTCCACTCTACGGTTCGACTCGATACGACTATGAAGAACCATTCCGCGAGGACAAGCAACTAGGAACCATCGACTCCGATCAATCCGGCTCTGAATTTAGACGAAGGAACCGAAACATTGGCCGAATAAAACTTTTTGCAACGTCTTATTAACTTAATAACAAAGTTCTTGTAGTTTCGTCAAGATTCTTTACCCTTTCTCATGACAAATAATGAACAATAAATACAGCGAAAGTGGTTTATACGACTCGACTCAATGAGACGAGCAGCCACATTGCAGGAACGACTAGCTGTGGACCATCGACTGGGACCATCGGCTCTGAAGAAGATGAAGACGTGACAAACAACGTTAGCCGATTACAAGTTTTATACCAACCTCATGTGAACTTGCTCATATAGAAACTGATTACAGCTAATATGGATTAAATCTCCTTATCAGTCAGTCGTCACCTGTGGATGCAGCTAAATTGCTTGCCAACATCGACCAATG